AGGAATGCCCCATACACCTGTGGGGCTACAGGATCACTGCTGCGGGGATCCCCTCACCTCGGGGTATGGGATTGCTGCAGTCCTTCCCAGGGCCAGAGGACTGCTCAGTCCTCTGGCCTGTGGGTCCCCATATTCCTGGGTTGAGGCAATCATCCCTGCAGCAATCCTTTGGCCCTTGCAGGGTTTCCCTGCATCCCTGGGACAGGAAATCCTCCAGCCTGTTGGTTTCCCACACCCTGGAGCCGTAGGGATTGCAGCAGTCTCGAACGCCAAGGGCCAGAGGTTTTATGCACCTCCAAACCCTGGGGATAATGGCTGCCACAATCCCTAGGGCCTAGGGGTTTTATGCTGGGCATGGTGCATCCCTGTGGCTGGGAGCCCCATCAGGTGAACTCTTTATGGCATGATAACTACTTTGCACGTGTAACTGGTCTCCAGGTAAAAGCACAGTTAACCAGTTAATCGGGTAATGCCTGTAAAGGCCTCAGGGGTGTTGCAGACTGCCATGCAGTGTTAGCACTGTTTGGTGTACAAGCATGATTCACAGAATAAACCCAGAGATTTCAAATAGGAATCCAGAGTATTAAAAGCACTATGACTTATTTTGCTCTTTCTGAGTTCTTTGCAAACAGAATTGCTGTGTTATTTTTCTGTAGTCAAAAATCAAAAACAAACTGAAAACTAACATTTTCCAATGGATGTCTTTAGTCTAAAACCTTTGAAAACCACTGGCTTAAGTCCCTCCTTATTCAGCAAAGCACATAAGGACATGCTGACTTGTCACACTTTGCTGACTTGAGACTAACAAGTTGCAAAATTAGAGGGCAGGTTGTGACCCCCAAATAGTAATTCCTAAAGAATTTTTAGGATGAGACAAAGATATCTGAATCACTTTTTAGTTGGGAGTGAGCACTATATGGACATTTCATCATGGGGACTATTTGGAGAAAATAGGTTGTGTTTGGGGTACCAACTTTGAGGGTGACCTTTTGAGCTATAGGAAGAACATTTTAGTATTAATACAGTGGTTTGAAGATCAGTTTAAAGGCTGTGAGATATCATTTTGTGACAGTCTAGTTCCTTTCTTGTCATCCAATAGATTGTCTACGAACAAGTCAGTCCTCGGCATCCTCACCAGAAAGGGAGATCACCTTGGTGAATCTGAAAAAAGATGAAAAATATGGTTTAGGTAAGTTGATATCATCATTTATACCCCATAGTTTCTAAATACAAGAAACCAGAAGTGAAATAGTTTCTCTCACTGTTTCTTTTTTTTTTTTTTTTAACTGAGGAATCCTGGTCAGGGGACGGCAGCCTGGGCCGGTGGATTGGTCTTTGGACCTGAAATTTGGGGCTAGGGCTCTGTTCCTGGTTCTGAATAACTGGGAGATCTTGGGCAATTCTTTGCCTCATTTTCCCCATATGCAAAATGAAGATAAAGATAATGTATCTGCCTTTCTAAAGCAATGTTAATATCTCCATAAGAGTTTCATTTAGTTTTTAATTCTATAGATCTGTAATCTACTAAAAGAAATCTCAATGCTGTTCGCAATCTAAAGAGAAAAAATCTTTCTATAACTGGGGCTTTCAGGTTTGGTCTGTGTTCAAGTGACACAGATGGCTGTGAGATTTTTAAAAACTGTGCAGAAATCATTCTGAGCCAACTTTCTACTATGTAGCATAATATTTCATTAGAGAAGGAGCTTTTATTTGCACGTTGAAGCACAGGACTAGGAAAAAAAGATGTGGATTTCATTCCCTGTTCTGCCACTGACTTAGGTGTGTTTGGTCAACTTTTTCCTGTATAATATTTTCATGCCAATCCCACATGTGTAAAGTCCCTTTTTATGTCCCTTTGAACATTGCTCTGTACGTTTAAAGCAATACCAGCAACTGCTTTCAAACAGGAAAATACTAATGTGAAATATGATATATTTGAGCCTTAAACTTGAAGCCTGCCAGAGAGTGAGTGGTGGAGTAGGGAAGAGAGAGAGAGAGAAGATTGGTGTGTGTCCACTATTGCTGCTCTGAGATGCATAAAGGATACCTGAAAAATGAGAGAAGATCAAGATTAGTGTTCCTAAAATTTAACTAGGGTGGTCCTTTGCAGATCAGGTCTTTCAGTCTTGACTAAGGGAGTTAGGTGTTGCATTTTTGAGAGAGGGAGTTTCCTCAAAATGTTGTTCAGACTTTTCAATTAATAGGTATTAACCAACCAAGCGACACTTGAAGTTTTAAATAAATGAAAAGGTCACCCACTGAATGAATGTGTTTTATCTCTAAATCCCAGTTCTACAAGTTTTCCCATCATCCCAGAAAAGCTAATTTGATCAGATCTGAATTTCTTAAATAAAACTCAAGCAGAGAAGAAAAGTTTATTGAAATAATGTTAAGCCTTTATCATGCACGTGGCAATCTCTCCCTTTTAAATTCACATGTGTTATTCAAGTGCTCTTGGAAAGCTTGAATAGTAAGTCTTTGGTATCAAATGCATGGTACAAGCATGTAATGCATGGAATTACTTTTGATTGATATCTGTGTGTGTGTGTGTTTGTTGTTTTTTAAATAGGTTTTCAGATAGTTGGTGGGGAGAAGGCTGGAAAACTTGATCTAGGAATTTTTATTCATTCAATTATTCCTGGAGGGCCAGCTGACTTGGAGGGGTCTTTAAAACCAGGTAAAATTATGTGATTAGAGATGATTGTACTCTAGTAACAGATTGGGAAATGCCTTTACTATATATTTACCTAGGTATTTGCCATCTTCATTTGATGACTACTATTTTGTTTCAAATAATTCCATAGCTCCATTTCTGTCTCTAAAAAGTGAACCTAATATTGTCCAAGTGACACCCAAATTACTATAATGAAAAAAATTGTTTATGTTGAATACCTATTTTATAACTCAGTATATGTAGTTTGTCCACTTGACTATACTGTATGTAGTCAGTTTCCCACATCTGGTCTATTCAGTTTCCCCAATTTGTATTTCACTGAGTCGTAGGGAAAATAGAAATGCTTATAAAATATAGAAAAATGTGGCTGCACATTGAAAATGGACTATGTTTCAGTTTGCCAGTTTGCCAAGTTAATTTTATTGGCCAAATAATTTGACATTCAGCGTCAACAAAATGAGAAACAAAAATAAATTCAGAGCTTTGTGCAGAGTTATAACCTTGCAACCTCATTAAATTCTGGAAGTGGTAATACCGAGTGGTTTGTATCTGAATATATCCCCTTCTGTAGGACATCGGCTGATATCTGTGAATAGTGTGAGTTTAGAAGGTGCCAGCCACCATGCAGCATTAGAGATTCTAGAGAATGTTCCTGAAGACGTGACACTTGTTATCTCTCAGCCAAAGGACAAACTTTCCAAAGGTATTTTAAAAAACAAAACCTTAAGTTTACTACACGTTGTATTACTTTCTCCCCTTCCCACTATAATACAGAAGAATATGATTTCCTCCCTCATCCTCAAACTTCCCACAGTTTTGCAACTTGTGGCAGATTACCATCTGAATACATGAGTTGGATTTCCTCAAGCTTGAATTGTCAATGCAAGAAAAACTCCAGTTTAAATGCTTCAGAACTAGATTATGTAAGAAATAGGTTGTTGTATTTAACTTTGAGCAGTTGCTCTTATTTCAGTGATTGAAGAGTACTCTGTTTTATGCACATTGGAAATGCATGATGATGATTTAAATATCTGAAAGTTAACATTTCTGTATATTAATTGTTAAATAAAATTTTCATTCTTAGTGTTATCTAGCCCCATACATCTTGCCAGTGGAACAAGAAGTTTTTTAAGAAGGCCTTCATCAACGCAGGACAATGAGGCAGAATCGTCTTCAGAGGAACACAATAGGTCACAAGGTCACCAAAGGCCTATCTCAGGGATTTCAGCTGGATTATCTGGAGGCAAAAGGGATGGAAGCCTGAGCTCCCAGGACTCCAGGACTGAAAGTGCCAGCCTGTCTCAGAGCCAAATGAATGGCTTCTTTGGCAACCACATCAGTGACAGAGCACAGCAGGAGCTGCAGCATTGCCATGATTCTCAATCTGTCCATGCCAAAACCAATGAGAAAATGAAAATCTCTACTGACAGTAACAGAGCAAATATAAAAAAGCCTGGTAATCTGGAAAATGTGGAGTATTCTGACCGGGGGGATTCTGACATGGATGAAGCAACTTATTCCAGTAGTCAGGAGCAACAAGCAGCTAAAAAGGCACAGTCCATTTCTATTAAGTGTTTGAAAACATTCACACACACGTAACTAAACAGACTGCCCTTGATCATGGTGTGTTCCAGGAGTGAGAAAGGGAGGGATTGCATTTTCCACTCTAATGGCTACTGCATGTTTACTAACATTTAAGTACAGGTTTTCAAAAACTAACTCCCTTCATGCTTAAAATGTATGAAAGATAAGGAAATGGAGAAATAACCATTGTCTGTTTTATAAGAAACAGTTTACTATTAAATCTTTCTCATAATTAGGAGATTTTTTCCAAAATACCTGGACAAATGAACTCCTGAAGTTTCAAACAGTTTAGAAGGGCCTTAGCTGCATTAATAGAGGACTTTTCTGCTTAACCTCAGCATGACACCACTTGAGCCTTTTTAAGACCAATTAAATGCCATTGTATGTGTGGCAGAGATTCTCAGTTGCTTTCAAAAGAAAATCTGCTTTCAACCCCAAATATAAAATTTGGCCATATAGCCTAATGGTCATCAACATGGTTAGACATTTCCTTATTTACCAGATTAATTGCTGTCTTCCTGGATTAGGGGAAAGCAACAGTGATATATATGGAATTAGCAGGCAGGCTAGTTGCAGAAGAGGGTTTTTGTAGGATATGGTTAAGAATAATATATTTGTCCAATCAGCAGTAGAAGCCTTCTGTTGAAGTTAAGGGTGTTCCACCAAATTAGTCCAACAGAGGATCTGGCCCAGTGTGTTCTTGTGATGATGATTCCTTCTTTTTAAGGACCCAGTACATGTAGGTATAGTGGCCTAAAACAAAATACTATAGGGGGGCACTGATAGAGATTTTGGAGGCCCATGCCGATAGATAATTTTTAAGCAGGCATATCGGCCAATACCAATCCGATTTCTGATACTGCTATGTCCGGCTGGTAAGTCTATTGTGAAATGGGAGGGAGGAGGGAAGGGACATAGGGGGTGCAGATCAACGCCCACCGTGGTGAGGGGGTGGAGCTGGGATAAGTGCTGCCCAGCCGGGGCAGGCATAGGACAGAGCTGTGGCTCGTCTGGGGGGGAAGGTCAGCTCCTGCCGCTCGTTCAGAAGGGCACAGAAGCAGGGGGAATATGTCCCCAGATCTGCGCAGGGTGGGCTGCAGCTGTGGGCTGGGGCTGGGGCCAGGAGCCACACAACACTTGGGGG